GCATCTGGAGGTAGGCATATGACAGCTGATTAGATCTAAAAGTAACTTTGCTTTTGGATTTCATTCCGATACAACATCTCTTTGTTTCTCATTCAAACAGCCAGGCTTTTTCAGGCCCTCTGTAAACCTCAACAAAATGAAGTTGTTTTATGGGATACACAAGTTAATCCAGCTTTACTTTTAATTTCCCAAAATATCTTTTGATGAAACCTGACACTTGAAGCTATGGATAGACATATAATATGTACTTGAAACTATAGGTAATCCTCAACTTATAACCAGTTGCTTGGCAAACATTCAAAGTTATGACAGAGCTTACCAGTTGCTTGGCAAACATTCAAAGTTATGACAGAGCTTACCAGTTGCTTGGCAAACATTCAAAGTTATGACAGAGCTTACCAGAAGTAGTTATAATGCTGTTCTAAAGTTCTGGCAGCTGATTCCCTGGTTACATGACCACATTTCAGGCTCTTGGCATTTATGGCTGTTTGCAGCATCCTGCAGTCATATGATCAGATTATATGTTTTTTGCCAAAACCTGGCATTTACTTCTGGTTCTGAGCAAAACCAGCCCTTAGTGAACAATTGGTTTGCTTAATTACCATAGCATTAGCTTTACAATTGCTGCATTTGCTAAACATTCCTCCCCCACAAAAGAGTAAAATCAGTCATTCATCTGACCATTATTTTTACAATCATCATAACTTATCATAATGAGTAGGCTCCATTACAGTCATAAGTGGAGGACTACCTGTATGGATAGACCTAAAATGTGCTAAATGTTAAAATTATTGATAAATGGAATATTAAAATGACAGAAATCTAAAGAGCAATAATTGTTCTGTATAACACTGTTAAATAAGGTGCTAAATGTTATAGCCTCTTTCACTTCATTATTATTAATAATAACAATACCCCCAAAAGCAAAATTCAAGTTTAACATTTTTATTTAATTATAAGATAAAATAAGATACAAAATGTGAAAGTAAATAGGAAAACAGTGGGGAGGAAGGGCGGGGAAGTTAGGAAGGATAAGAAAAAAAGAAAAAGAAACATTGATTTCCAACTCTGTCTGTTGCAATAATATAAGGCATTAACATCAAATCATAACTTTTTGTTTTTTTATAATAATTTAAACTAGCCATTTCTATAACGATCTATCAGTCTAATCAGTAAAACCCAAAATAAAAGTTTCATTCTTTTCCACTTGAAGCACAAAGTTCAGAAGTGGTCTCCATGTGGAAATAAAAGTACTTACATTCTTTTCTTTAATCGAAATAGTCAGTTTTGCCATTTCAGCCAACTCCATCAGCTTCTGAAACCATTTGTACATGGTAGGAATCGAAGTGTCCTTCCATTTTTGTGCATACAATAGTCTTGCTACTGTCAACATATATAGTATCAAAGTCCCAATTTTTTCTCCAAGTCTTTTTCCATTACAAGGAAAAGGAAAATTTCTGGTTTCATCATTATCTTTATTTTCAAAAATTTCTGTATTAAAATATGAATTATACTCAAAAATTTGCTGCATTATCACATGTCCACCATAGATGATAAAAGTTCCTTCTTTACTTTTACACTTCCAATATTCACCCAAAAGCAAAATTAATTATACTCGTCCGGGGACGAAACAATGTCTAATATTTTTATTAGACCAATATATAGAATGGCTTAAACTCAACCACAGCCATTTTCTTCTCCTTATTTGCATTCTGTATATAAAACATAGATTACCTGTGACTTGTAGCTCCTGCCTGCAATATTGGAGGCAGTCTGATATTAATAAATAACCATGAACTCTTCCAGTTCTTTCACTATTGCCACTCCCTGATTACCAGATTCTCCTGGTTAGGCCAAGGACACCCTTGCTCTTAGCATATCAAAGAGCAATAAGCACTACTGAAGATAAGACATCAGGCTGAAGTTTGCAAGATAGGAATCTGTGGAATCAGATTGCAGAATTTACTAAATATTGAGCATAGATCAAGTCTATTTATCCATAAATGAAAGGCAGCACCTATGGATTGGGAGGTGGGGAATGAGAATTCCCTACAATGCAGGATTAAATTAATTAAATTAAGGAATTAAATTAAGGAAAAGACACTAATTTATCAGCTCAATAATCCTGGGATCAAATAATACCCACCAGTTATGTACTGGAAAGGCTTACCTTTTCTCCTCAAGAAAACTAGCTACTTTAATTTTCAATCCTCAGGTGCCAATTCAACTCTGAAAGAATGCCCTTTATCCCATCTTCTTTTCCTGATTCCCAGAAAGAGGGCCCTCCAGCCTAACACTTCCTTAGGCCCAACTGTGTTTATTAATTTCAGTACATGAGCTAATATGCCTCAGTATGGATCAGTATGCACAGTTTGGGAAATTCCCATAATATATCCCCATCACTTTCCTTTCAAGGTTAGCAGGGTCATTCTGCAGAAAAGAAAAGAGTAAGAATGTTGAAGTATGAGTAATAAAATAAACAGTAAGAACAAGAATAAGCTTTATAGCCTTTTCGGCACTGCAGCCATCATCTGCCAGCCTCCCATGTGTAAACTGTCTGGAAATAAATCCAGTTTAAGAAATCCCTTCCCAAATTTCATCCTCAACCTCCTCTGGAAATTAGGATTTAAGGTGAAAGTGTATATAGCAATGGAGGGAGGGAGGATGAGGACAAGGAGATCATCAAGGGAGTTGGAAAGAGTATGAAAGCATACCCAAGAAAAGAAGCCAAGCATCAAGAGCAGCAACCCCATAGGAAGTATTTCTCATCCTAATTGGAAGTAACTAGCTACAACTTTTTTTTGAAGAGCACCAAGAGAATATGTCATAAAAATATAATATCTAGCCAGTTCGATCACCTCAGAAACTTCTTTATACTAAGTCTGTCTATTAGCCAAAGTCTTAAGCCTCTATCTAATTTCTTACAAATATTTTGCTGGATTTGAAAAGAATAAAAAGACGGAGTAATCCTTTTTTCCCAACTCTTTACCAATAGTATACATACAAGGTGATTTCATTTTCTGCTATGGAATGAATGTTGCACCTCTGTGCATCTATACGTATTTCTACAAGGGCTGGGAGGAACAAAGCAGGTTTATATACTTCCTGTCTGGGTCACATGACTGAGAGGGAAGGGCATTTAGAATGGAGCAATCAGCAACATTTTGAGTCACTGTTCAGCTATTCCTCCCTCCCTCTCTGTCATCTATATCTCTCCCTCTCCATCTATCTGTCTGTCTATCTATCTATCTATCTATCTATCTATCTATCTATCTATCTATCCATCCATCCATCCATCTTGTCCAAGAAAACTGTGTTTCGTATGTATGTATGTATTATGTATGTATGTATGTATGTTATAGATAGATAGATATAGATATATAGAGATAGTAATATTTAGACTAAGTAGTGTAAAATTTATATTATTATTGCTTCTTGTTTGCTTCCTGCTTTTCAACATTTTGTAAGAGAAATTCACTACTGAAGGTGTACAAGGCAGTATCCACCCAACAGGTAAAGGTTCAAAAATTCAGCTCAGTGAAGTTTATTTATCCTGCCTGGAGCGGGATGTGCATTGGGCAATGATATCCGTACTGGAAAGAATATACCTGTAAAGGCATGCAGAAAAAGAGAAGGACAAAATTGAGAAAAGCTACGTCAAATGAGCAAGAAAACCCCACCAATGTTAAACACTGATAGAAAACAGACGCAAGTAAGGAATCCAGATATGTAAAATCACTAACATCAATAACTGGTGGCAACTGACGCTCACTGAAGAGGTGAGCTGGATCTGTTGTGAAGTTACTAGCTCAAAAAGCTGGTTTTGTTTCCAATGAGTTTTGATAGTTCTCATTGAATCTACTCACCTGCTTCACACATATCCTTGAATCATGAACCATGGTTAATGACCTTAACAATCTGAATTGTATCTATTATAGGTATAATAGAATTAGAATGCATAATGTATAATGTTGATACAACCAGTATATCACATTTATAAAATTGAAGCTGTAATACAAGAGGAAGAAAACTATAATAAAACTTTATTTAAAAAAACACCACCACATAATTTGAATCAAACCTTGTATTAAGCCACAAGCCACATTAGGGCTTAGAAGCTTCCTCCAAAGGAGGCTGATCATAACCAGCCAGATGGTGGGACCTGCGTCACAACCAAACCTCTGCCTGTTTTATATGTATGCATGACAAGAGGGATGGGGGGCTTGGATCACAACACCACACCCATCATCTTGAATTTTGATTTCTCCTCCTCCGCCTCAATGCCACTGAACAGCAAAGCATACACTAAACTGGTTCTGACCCATAACATGGCTTGGCTTCGGCTTAACACAGGGGTCCCCAAACTTGGCAACTTTAAGACTTGTGGACTTCAACTCCCAGAATTCTCCAGCCAGCTATGTTAACTGGAGAATTCTGGAAGTTGAAGTCCACAAGTCTTAAAAGTTGCCGAGTTTGGAGACCTCTGGGCCTTAACACATTGCACGAAGCCAGACATTGTGGCTTGTTAAGCCACGATTTAGGACATTGCGCTGAGTAAGTCTTTCAAACATTTTGTTTTGTTCGTTTGTTTTGGTTCAGTAACACGAGGCGTCGATTCAGTCACGGCGCTTCAACGGACGGCGCTTCGACATCTGGGAAGAAGCAATTCCCCGAACTAAAGGAGGGCCATGGCGAGGGTGCGCCAGCCTGTTGGACCGAAGACAACCGAGGTAACCGTGAGGTTGTCGGGTTTTCATCCCGAACGTCTGAAGGGGACGGGGACGAAGACGGGGGTGGAAACGGATCTGCTGTTCCCGAACAGCGCCGGATCCTCATCCCACAAGGAAGCAAAGAAAATAAACGCTGCAAGTTTAGACGTTCCCTCGCAGCCAAAACTAAGCAGAGCCGCCTCGGGCAGAAGCGGGAAGTCTCCTTCCCGAAAAGTGAACGTGAGTTGAAGGGGCGGAGCCTGGGTCGCCGACCGAGGAGGCTTTGACTCTCCCTGGGGAACAAGGCGAGTCCGCTGACCGTTCAAGCCGGAGTTACGGCCGCCCGCCGGGGCCCTCGAGCGGCCCGGTCTGTTTTTCTGCCTGGCGGGAAAGAAGCGCCCGAGTTATCCGAGGGATTTTCGACGTTTCCCCAGAGAAAGGGGCAACCCTCAGGCCGGCTTCTCCCGAGGGGCTGCCGAGCATGGGCGGGCAATGCTGCTGCTTATCCGAAGAGCAGAAGACGAGCCGGCTCTTGAGGCTGGAGATCGAGCGGCGGCTGCGTCGAGACAAGCTGCATTCCGCCGACGAGCTGAAGCTGCTGCTTTTGGGTGAGCCCGGTCGGCCCGTCCTCCTGCCTGGGTTTGGGTGAGCCCAGGGTGCGGTCAGGCCACCCTTGGGAATCCGCTTCAGGAGCGATCTGGGACAGATCAGGAACCTGCCCGGGGCAGGAGCAGAACCATGGGCTCACCTGTGCCAAGATCGCAGGATTTAGGGCAGGATTCCCCAAATGGAAGAGGTTCTGTTGAAGAACCTCCAGAGCCGAAGAAGCTTCTTGGATGAGAAGTGAAACGTCTTCAAAGAAAACCCCAGAAAGTCCAGTTGCCTCTTGAAAAAAGCACCTTTGGGACAACCATAGCCTGGATGACTGAGAATCTCCATAGACATTCTGTTTAAAAGTTGCTAGTATTATTTTGGACTATAATTTTAACATAGTAGTTGAGGCTGAGATATACAAATTGTGCTTATTCCTAATTTAAAAGATTTATTTTAAATAAATTTACTAGTAAATTAGGTCATATATTCTCAATTTAAGGAGCAGGACTGGACACCAAGGTGCCAATATTTCTAGGGAACTTACTCAAGACTATTTCCAACCTTACTTTACTGAGAGATACAGAGAGCTGAATGCAGGAAGTTTATTCAGAAATTGTTTGGGGTGGGTCAAACTGGCTTCTTATCTAGAATAGGTGAGTAATGCTGCAGTCTGTTGAGTAGACTTTGAAGTCCAGTTTACATTACACGGAACTGAGGGAATGTGGGCAGAGTTTACATAATCGCAGTGTGATTTTTTTGCCACGTTTGCACAATTTATTCTTCTGCTGGGTACTTTATTGCATGTTATCACTAAGATTAGGGCTCTGGGGGGGTGGGGGGGGTTACCGCTATTGTGGTGCAAGAACCCCAGCACGTCTAGTTATTCCTAGGTGGCATGAGCCGATACTCAGTTTTTTGGTTCAGCCATGAAACTCCCATGTGCTTTGGCAAGCCACTACTGAGATAAATCCATTCCCCAAGGTTGTTATGATGATAGACCAGAGTTGGGAGAGAGTTATTTTGGGGGTGGTTCGGCCAGCATGCAGTTAACAATGATCATCTGCCTTGATTCTGCAGCCCCATTGGATTTGACTAAACCATTAGATCAGGGGTCCCCAAATTTGGCAACTTGAAGACTTGTGGACTTCAACTCCCAGAGCTGCCAAGTTTGGAGACCTCTGCATTAGATTAATGTGGGAAAGCTAAAACTAGCCCAGAGGAAGGAAGCCCACACTGCAGCCAAGGCAACAACACACAATAGTTAACATCGGCCTGCACCTTTTGCTAAGCTTACAAGCTTACAGCTTGGTTCTCTGCATGTTGTTTTCAAAAGGAAAAATTTTTAATAGAAGAAGCTGTGAGCAAATAAAGTTCTTATTGTGGTCCCAATGAAAATTATCACTTTCAAGTCACTCCCCCTCCACACACACAGTCCTGCCTCTTTCTTTGAGTATGGGATTCCACAAGCCAAACATCAGCCTATGAACCATTCCTGATGTGTGAGATCTAGTCTGTATCCACCCATTCTTGACTCAGGAGAAACTGTACCAGCCTGGCTTTTGTTGGCTGTTTGTCATCCCACCTTTATTGTCTCTGTTTCCAGTCCCTGACAGGCATCTGACTTTCCTCGCATGGTAAGGGGTGACGATGCTTAAGAGATTTTATGCACTTTGAAGTTGTTTTGGGATAGTCTTGAAATAAATAAGCTTTAACACTGGTGTAATTGACAACTTCACTGATAGTCTAAGGATGAAGTGAATGCAATGTTTTGGGGATATCACTTTTGTTATAGTGATCGTGGTGTGATTAGGTAGAGAGGTAGAGGAACAGCCTGTGTCTTCACCAGTCATCATTTTTGGATGGTCCTTCTAGCAACAAAGCCTTCTTTTTTCTGACCACCCATTTTGACCATCCAAATCATAAATCCTAAAAAGCAAAGGGCCAAAAAAAGTCTGATATGTCTGTTTCCTTACTATTGTATTCATCATGCAAACTCAACAGATAAAATATAGCAAGAGAAGGAAAAGACATTCCCCTGTTCTCTTCCAACTAGCCAATATTGTTTCCTTTCACCATTTTTGTCCCAAAGATAATTTTTTCAAGATGCAACTGGACTCTCTGGTCCTTTTTTGAAAACGTTTCGCTTCTCATCCAAGAAGCTGAAGAAGTTCCAATCCAAGAAGCTGAAGATGTTTCTTGGATGAGAAGCGAAACGTCTTCAAAGAAAACACTAGAGAGTCCAGTTACCTCTTGAAAAAAGCACCTTTGGGACAACCATGACCTGGATGACTGAGAATCTCCATAGACTTTCACCATTTTTAGGTGCATAGAATGCCCAGAGGCATTCCAGGGAAAAGGACATTAGTAAATAGGTGGGAATTAGTAGCATTTTGCTTTTACAACATGGATATCCTACTTACTTGTCCAAAATATCGTAAATGGTTAAGGATGGGAAACAGCTCATGTGAAAGAGAAATGTATTTTGAGTCATTACAGATAGTTATTGACTTACCACTGTTTGTTTAGTGCAAAGTTAGAACTGGAAAAAGGTGATTTATGTCCAGTTTTCACACTTGCAACTGTTGCAGCCTTCCTATGGTCACATGATGAAAATTTGGGTGCTTGGCAACTGGCATGTGTTTATGACAGTTGCAATGACTCAAGGTCATGTGATCACCTTTTGTGACCTTCCCAGCCAGCTTCCAATAAGCAAAGTCAATGGGAAAAGCCAGATTCTCTTAATGATCACATGATTCATTTAACTACTGTAATGATTCACTTAATAACTGGCAAGGAAGGGTTGTAAAATGGGGCACAAGTCACTTAACAACTGTCTTGCTTAGCAATGGAAATTTTGGGCTCAATTGTGGTTTGTAAGTCGAGGACTACCTGCATAGAGAAGAAAAAAAATGGTTATTGACGTTGCTGAGTCAGATAGGCCAAGGAATGACATGGAATAAAAAGCTTCGCTATAATCTAATTCAAATTTCAAATGACTGCTTGGAACTAGGGAAGAAGAATTGTAGGAGGAGAATGGTGAACTATTTTCCAAAGCATTTTTATGTTTATTCTTGCAAACATAATAGTAAAATAGCGATAACCATTTCTTTCTTGCTCATATGATAAATAGAGATATTCTATTTAGTACATTTTAAAAAGATTTTGAAGTACTGGTTAGAGTGCTTGAAAAAAGGGATAAAGCTCATGTATGAAACCTTGACTTCATAGAAGTAATAACAACTTTTTAAGTGAATTTTCTGGAACGTGCATTTCTGTTCTAAACATCAACTAAAGCAAATTCATTTTATTTACCAATACTATAACTAGCACTAGCAACATAGTCTTAAAACAGTTGAAAATCAAGGATAGTGATTTGAATCAGCATAGGTAAAAAAGTTGGTAACCAAAATATTGACGCAACTAAACCTCATTAAAGCCACTAATGTATTGTAACGTGCTTTCAAAACCACATTAGTTATGCCTGAACCTCATTTGTGGTTAATTATTTGCTCATTCTATTTTGCTACTCCTGCAGCAGTGATTTTGAATGAAACTAAAAACTGCATTGGATGTTCACAAACCAAGACAAAAGTACTTTTTAAGATGGGTTCCTGAGAACTGTTTAGCAGAATGACAGACCCTAAATATTAATTTCGCTTCCATTCCCACAATCTGCCAGATTTAAATAACAATGATGGGACCAAGTCCTATGTAACTCAGAGTCTGAGTATCTAAGCTCATATCTATACAACTACCTCACCCATCACTTCTAGAGCAGCCTATGCCGGGGGCATCCCAAGATTAGATAAGCCGTAGGTTTTTTTTTCCTTATCCCAATTTATGTCACTATAAGGTTAGTGCTATGCAATATATGACTCTTAAGTTCCTTTGGTTGCTCTTGGGCTCAATTGGAGTTTATGGTGATGTACATGGCTTTATAAGCAGTAATTCTTTCAGAGTAAATTCCTGCCCAAGCTTTCTCAAAACAGTTATTTTTGCAGTACACTGATCATTACAACCTCCTTAAAGTGAGGCTCAGAAACTGAGTGCCTGGGAAATTTTCTATCTCAGGTAAATTCTGCATGATAGACCTGGGTGAACAAGATGTTCTTTGCTGAAGTCTCCTCTTATCAAGAGATAGGACAGGAAGGGTCAAAGAAGAGGGCATTTTGATGACTGCTCCCCTCATTTGTAACAGTGTATCCCAGCACAAGAGTGGTCTCCCTCTTATTCTTCTTTGTGTTTTCCTGCAAGTGCAAAATCTGCTTTTTCTAATTTTGGCTCAACCAAGTGTTGGTCCATCCCATTCCGCAGGAATTGACTGATTGGCTTGTGATGCAAGCCTGACATCATGGGCTAGGAGAGAGTGACTGTCCCAAAGTCACCCAGCTGGCTTTCATGCCTAAGGTGAGACTAGAATTCACTGTCTCCCAGTTTTCTAGCCCAGTACCTTAACCACTAGCCCAAACTGGCTCACATCTCTCTTATGTCTTCCAAGAAATAGTTCTGGAAGGCCTTAATAATTAAGTAACTAAAAAATTATTTGTGCCATTACATTTTTGTTAATGTTTATTTTATATTATTTGTTGCATTAATTCTGCATTTTATTTGATTACAAGCCTCTTGAGCAAGATAGTTCATACGTTATATAAATAAAAGAAATAAAATGTTAAAACTGCAACGAAGTAAATTTACAGTGCATTTTATTCGTTTCCTTAGTAAAATTGATTATATGTCTACAATTTCTGGTTATAGTTATTGGAACATACATTGATATATATTGATATACATTTATAAATATTGATTTGCACACATTTTTTGAATGAAAGTGATTTCTGTTTGCTTGATATAGTCAGACATTTGCAATGTTTGTATGCAGCTCATTTCCATGACTTGGCATTTTCTGAATAATTTTCTTTATCGTCTCCCTTCATTTCCAGTGAAATGGAAACATTTCAGAGTCAAACTTGTTCATTTCAGTAAAACACACTCACACACACCCATATACCAGGTA